TACTATATAAAAAAATTAATAATTTATATAATAAAATTAATAATACTTATTATATAAAAAAGTTAGTTATTATAAAAAATTTTTTTTTTTACTTGAGTAATCTTGTCCTTTCTGTTATTCAGAGATAATTTATCAAAAGATAACATATAGAATACAATTATATCTCGACATAACTATATACTGCTCTACAGATTTTGAATTAGACTAATTTAGCTATATCAAGTGTATCCAAGTTTGATCTGCTACAGAAGCCATTTATCTCTCAAAAGTAGTTCACTATTAGAACAGTTCATTCTAACTTCTGATCAACAATTGGTGACTCCTAGCCATTATCAAGATCCTAGATCTTTCTTAATCTAATTCAGAACTAAACTAAAAGTTGTTAATATCTAGTCTCAAGATAGAAAAAAAATAAAAAATTATTACAAATAATGAAAAGCATAGAGCTATATACTATAAGAACAAAAATATAATAAGAAAAAACTTACTAATAAATAAAAAATCTTACTAAATGAAAATATGAAATAGAGAAAAACAAAACAAAATAAAAGAAAAAAGAAAAAAAAACAAAAAGAATTTTTATTTTTGATATAAAAAGAAAAAAGAAAAATAAAACCCAAAGTAGTTCTATCTAAAAGCAGGCCTAAAGACAGGCCTAAAAGCATGTCTAAAGGCAAGCACTATCTGTAAAAATTATATATACTAGTTGCTATCTATGTATATATCTCTATAGTTAACAATTTCTATTATATTTATTTTATACTAATTAAATAAAACAAGGCTTCTACAAGTATCTTACAATATATCTAGTTAACAGAAGTTGATCACAGAATACATGCTATATGTATTTGTGAGTTGTTGTTGTTTAGTAGTGATTAACATAACTTTTCTAAAATAGACATAGTATAGATATCAATTTTTTAGTAGAGGTAAGCCAAATCTCCACTTTTTGTTGTTGAGAAACAAAGAAAAACAATTCCAAGTCCAAAAGTTGAGTTGTTGTAAGTAAAAAGAGGAGTTCTTCAAAAACAAAACAGAACTAAAAGAGTAATAATATACTTGACCTAGTACAAGCATAGTTGGAGTCCTTCTTTACTTCTTCTTTTCACCTTTGATACCTTTCTACTAAGCAAACTTAAAGTTGTCTTATTAAAGTCAGATAGCAAAAGCCTAGTACAACCTTGAAACTAACTTGTTGCAGTTCTTGCTTCTGAATTATCACAGTTTCATGATTTATTTCTCAATAGTTAGATACTTTAAGTTGCCTTACTAGGTAGTAGCATAAGAAAAAAAACTTTTTGTTGTTTCATTAGTTTTGGTTTTGATGTTTATCAGAAAAAGTTGTCTATTATAAAAATTTTTTTAAAATTTAAAAATTTTAATAATATATATATATAAAATGAATTTCTAAATCTATATTTTATATTTATATTACTTAAAAATATATTAATTATAAATTTTATAAACTTGTTATATAAGTATATTTTATGTAAAAAATTATTATATTTTTTATTTTTATTTTATTTTATTTTTTTTAATAAAGGCAACTTACTATGCCAAACAGATTTATTGTACTTTGTAATTCTGAGTATCTTCTTTTTGGAGCCTTGTTAATACCAGAATTTATTATTTTTCTTTTTGAGATCTTTTCCTCTGCTGCTTGTTTAATACTTCTACTTATATTATCTTATTCTTTATTTAGATCTATATCTGTTTCTTGGTCTGCTACATTATTTTGCATTGAGTTGTTATTCCATAGTGCTTCATTGACTCTTCTTTTGAGCAGCAGATGTAATTTGCTTCTGTAGCTATCCCAGTTCTCTTTAGTTGCTTTGTTGTATTCAAAAATTGTTCTTTTCTCTTCTTTTCACTTTATTTGCACTAAGCTACCTTTGATTTGCATATGGTCTAGTACTAATTTTGCCATTGCTAATTTGTGATCGCTACCTGTATCCAGATCTATATCTTCAATAATTGCCTCTTCTAGACCATAGCTTAATACACTTGATATCCAAATTTGGTCAATTCTTGTGTTATCTTTTCTATTACTTCAGATAAATTCTTTCTTGTTTGGATATTTCATTCTAAAAGTATCTACAAAATCTTGTTTCAATATCTAGCTTTATAAAGGTAGCTTTTTGTAATTATTATTAGTGCTATTACTTCTATCTAGGCTTGGTTGTATAATATGATTAAAATCACCTATTACTATAAAATGCATATTTTGTTTCTTTTGAGTGATTTCTTTTATTATTATTCTCTGTACTTCTTTTCTTTTCTCTTAATTGTTGGGTATTATATATACTATAAATACTACTAATTCTAGTTGTTTAAAGAAAAAGTACACTTCTATGAGGTATCCGTTGTGTTTTCTGATCTGTCCTATATGCCTTGTCCATTTATCACTTACTATTATACCTACTCCAGATTCTTTGTTTTTCTCTTCTTTTGCATTAGACCAAAAACTATTTAAGCTACTTCTTTGTTTAACTATAAATTGCCCTTCTCTGCTCATGATATTTGTTTCTACTATTCTTATAATATCACATTCATTCTTTTCTATTCTTTCAACTATCACCTCTATTTTGTGTCTATTGCCCTTTAACCCATTGATATTGTAAACTGCTATTTTAATTTCTCTTCTCGTTTCCATTACTTCTAATTTTTTTTTAACTCCTTTTGTTCTTTCTCATTCTTGGTTTGAACTCTGTTTACCCTTATATTAACATACAAGTTTTCCTTCTTGTATGACTAGAGCCTTCTTTAATTCAACTAGTATGACAAGTTAGAAGTGATTTGGAGCTTTTAGCTTCAAAAAGTCAAACTTTTCTTCTAATCTTTGGGCAAGTTGTATTATGTAGTTTAGAGTCATATCCTCACTTAACCAGAAGTTTGATCTATCACTTCTTGAAATTGAGTTATATCTATTTCTCTTTCTAAGATTAGTTTCCTTTCTTTGTTCATAAGGATCTCCTTCTTTCTCACTTATATTTCTCTTGCTTATACTGTATATTTTCCATTCATTTCTTTGTGTATTCTCTGGTAATGAGGTCTTTGCTTCTTTCTTGTCATCTTCTCTATATTTGTTTTCTGTTTTTACATATTTTGAACACTTTCCTTCCTGTTCTTGTTCGTACTCTCTTCTTTTCCTTAAACTTTTCTCACTTCTTTTTTGTACTATTATCTGTTCTTCTATTTTTGTATTATTTGTTGTTTCTGTTTCTTGTTTCCTTATTTCTGACTATCATAGTTTGTTGTTATAGTAATATATTGAGAGCTTTAGACTACTTACTCTGTCCTTTTCTTCTTTAAAATAAACTGTTACACTTCTCATCTTGTTATTATTTGAGTTTTTAAATATATGAAGTGCTTTCGCTCCTGTTTTCTTAACTTATCTTTATAGAAGTACTTCATTTGTATTTTCAAGTAAATCTAGCAACCTTGGACTATATTTGCTTCTTTCATAGAGTATGTTCTGGTTATTGGTACCTGGTATTATTCTTACTAGAAGTTAATCTATAAATAGTAAGCACCAAGTTTTTTCTATTTTCTTCTCATTGTACGTTCCTGATTTGAATTTAACTTCTGCTCTTGTCTTGTCATGTATAGTTCTTATTATTTCTATATGCTCAACCCTTCTCATGAAGCATACCGTTTCAAATACTTGAGTTCTTTTCGTCTAAGTTAGCAGATCCCAAATTGTTATCTTGTTATTATTTTTTTCTAATTGTAGTACTCCTTCATTATTTTGTTTCGATGTATTTTTGTCTTTTCTTAAGGGTTCTTGCTATTTAATTATTTTCTTGCTTTTTTTTTCTCTTTGTTTGAAAATTTCTTCTAGTTCTCTCGCTACTTGGTTTTCTCTTTTAATTCTTCCTTTATAATCTTCATCTTCCTTCTTGTAATTTTCTTGCATTGATTTGTTTATCTTTTCTTCTACCTCTTCTTCTACTATAAATTTAGCTCATTCGTACTCCTCTTTTTTATTTTCTAGTGTAAATCTTGCTTCTTTATAGCCTTTTTGGCAACAAAACCTAACAATATACCAAAGATTCCCTTTCTCAAATCTTTCACTTATATCTTTGACATGTATATTCCTTCCCATAGACCACTTTAGAGACTTTTTCCTATGTTCTTTGTTATCTTCTAGGACTTTGATAGCTGCTACTTTTGCCTTTACATTTTTCCTTCTTTCATATCTATCTTTACTAGATGCCCATATACTTTCTTCGAGTGATATATTTATTGCATCTTCTATTACATCTTTTCCTTTTCCTATATTTTTTTTGCATAGGTATTCTGTTCTGTCTTCTTTTATTTTATTTTCTATTTCTATCATATTTTTGTTTGTTTCTTTCTCGCTTATTATATTTATTTGTTCATTTTGTCTAGTTTCTAATTCTTCTATTCCTTCTGCTTCTTCTTAGCTATCTAACTTATCTGCTACTTGCATCTCTTCTTCTGTTATTTCTATTTTTGCTTTATCTATAATTTTAGTGATTTCTATCTGCATATTTTCTTCTTGCGACAAAATGATTTCCTTACTTTTATTTTTTCTCTCATTAGTTGCAATACTTATATTTTCTTGTTCAATTACCTTTTTGATATTTTCCATTCTTTCATGCATTGCTGCTCTTTCTAATACACTTCTTAACTCTCTAGCTGCTGTAACTATTTCACTTTCTACATCTAAAATTTTAGCTATCATTTTATTGACATAGCTTTCAAATCCTTTTACTGAATTACTACTCCTATCAAAGA